AAAAAAAAACTATATGATTCTATTTAAAAAATAAAGTTAACCTTTAAATTATTGACTACACAACGAAATTAAAGTTACCAAAGTATGTTCCCTTCTAAACTCTACAACTTTTGTCTTGAACATTTCTTTCTATTTTGCTTTATTTATTTCTTTTTACTTTAACGTCTTAATATAAATATAATATTATTTTTTAAATATTATTTTAAATGAATAATTACCATGAATTACCATAAATACCATGAATAATTACTGTATAACATCATTTAATAATATTAGAAAATAAACACTTTTAACCTAAAAAAATATCAAAATAATAGATAAAAGCCCTTTTTAAAAACACATTGATCTATAAAAAACATCAATAAAGAGAAGCGATGAATAACATATATATTTAATATCAAATAATCACCCATACTACACTGGATTAATATATACTGAAAGGTACTACAGATAAACTTGTTTAAATGTAAATGTACATAAATACTTCAAATTGTTATATAAATATTCAATAATAAATCAGGTTATTTAGCAGAATATATATTAATAATTTCATTGTCTAAACATGTTACATTGTAAGTAAAGCATGTATGTATTTAGGTTATGTATACATTATCTATACTTAAGAGTCTCAGCACAAGAACATCCATACATGCTACGTTACGTTAAATACTGACAACACAATGGCCATACGTACGTAAAATAAAACTTAAATCAAGGCACAAAGAAATCCGTAAACTTAACATGTTACGGATGTCTTGTGCTGAGGCTTTAACTTATAAATTACATTTGCCTGTAACTGACAAACGTCCAACATATCTATAGAGCAGTTTTGGCAGTGTTCATACATTAGAATAAATTAGTATTACTTACGGTTCGTATCCAAATAGATCGTGTTATCGAACCAGCTCATTAGTCTCACTCTCTCTCTCTCTCTCTTTCTCTCTCTTTCTTTCCTCCTTTTTTTGGTTATAGGCCTACTTCTAAAGCTGGCCACACACACTTTCTATAACAGTAAAGCGTGGTCTACAATGAGAACTTAAGAAAAAATACTTAAGCTTTAAAACTTAAGCCGCACATTTAAGACATAAGCTGTTAAGTTGTAGTGTCTACAATAGACTTCGCAAGCCCACAGCTTTAAGCTTTAACGACTACAAAGAACCAATCAGAAAGCAGATTGTTTCGCAGACGCATGGGGCAGTGTAAAGCGCACGTTTATAAACGCTATGATTTTATAATGGAAGAAGACGATGATTTTATGTTCTTTTTTGTGGCAATTGCATGGGTGCAAAGGATAACATGTTATTTGTTGTTAAAAAGATGCAACATTAGAAATCGGAGATGGTGGATGCTGCCTGATAAGCGAGAGAGATCTCATCTGGGAGTATACACTACTTTGTTTTTGAGGTATAAACACACGAATCATGAAGAATTCTTCAAAATGACAAGACTTACAGTTGAACAATTTGAAGAACTGCTCAATTTGATTAGCCCTGCCTTGATAAAGAACAGCATACGAGAATATTTGGATCCTGCATTTCGTCTAGCATTTACAGTGTGGTAAGTTATATTGAGCAATGAAATATTCACATACATTCTCTTCATCTTCTATTAAACTGCATGTTTGCACTTTTTCATAGCTTTCTAGCATCAGGAGACAGTTTGGTTTCAATGGCCAGATGTTGGCGTATAGGCAGGTCAACATCTTATAATGTTGTTATTGAAACGTGCAATGCTATTTGGCAATGTCTTCGAAGGATATATTTGAAGAATCCTTCTCAAGAAGAGTGGAAAAATATTGAGAAAGACTTTTATAATAGATGGAATTTCCCCAACTGTGTCGGGGCTTTGGATGGAAAGCACATTCGTGTGCAATGTCCACCCAACTCTGGTTCAGCGTATTATAATTACAAAGGATATTACAGTATGGTATTGCTAGCTACATGTGATGCAAATTATGCTTTCACTTCTGTAGATATTGGAGATTATGGTGAGAATATGCATCATATATATTTAATATTAGTCTACAAATAGAGAAATAACAAATTTTTAAATGTACATATCCAATTAATGATATATGTTTGCTTCAGGATCATTGTCAGACACAAGTATTCTCAGTGCATCGGCATTTGGACAAGCTCTGGAACGTGATGAATTAAATCTGCCACCCCCAAAAGTATTGCCAAATTCAACATTACTAGCTCATTACTATTTCGTGGGTGATGAAATTTTTCCGTTACGATTAAATTTACTTCGACCATATGCAAGGAAAAACTTATTAGGGGTCGCCGAAAAAGTTTTCAATTATAGACTCTCCAGAGCGCGACGTGTTATTGAGAACGCTTTTGGAATTCTCGTAACCAGGTGACATTATCGCTTTATTTTAATAATTTGACTTAGACTTTTATTTCTTATCATTAAATTATACACAGAAATCAATGTATACAGCTATATATATGCTTGTTAGGTGGAGAGTGCTAAGAACTACATTAGCCCTAAATCCGGATAATGTGGAGGCTATAATTTCTGCTACAATTTGTTTACACAACTTTATAATGAAAAATGAAGAACACATTGTTGGATTCCAATCATACTGTCCATCTGGTTATGTTGACTATTTTGATGACAATGGCAATGTCATTCCTGGCTCTTGGCGAGAAGAAAACACTCCTGCGTGTGTAACACGACTCAATCGAGTAGGATCTAACCGTGCTGCCACAATTGCAATGAAGCAACAAGACGCAATAGCTGCATATCTCATCTCAAATCAAGGACAAATTCCTTGGCAATGGGAAGTTATAAACAGAGGTCGCATAATAAATGTTTCTTAATTTGTTATAGGCTTTCTACAATAAACTTTTAATCATAATGCATAAGGATGAACCGATTAGAATCCTTGCACGATTGAAAGAACTTTGATTGGTTCATTTCCTTATGCATTATGACTAAAGGGGCTTATTGTAGAAAAAGCCCATTAAACTTTATTATATTAAGTATATATAAAAATAATTATTTTTCTTTCATTAAATAAGGGTACAATACATTTAAGTTTGTATTTATTTTTTTTACAAAGAATGTACATATGGTTACTGTACAAAACATATATATATATATATATATATATATTCCAATATTTAAAGAAATAAATAAATGTTAACTACAATAGTTAATTATAGTCTTTGGCTTGTTATTTTATAATATTCTTATAAAGTAAATTTAACCAAAACTTGAATAATACTTCCATAATATTTATGATATTAAATCAGTCTAAACTTTAAACAGTTATACAGTACTTTTATATATAATGGAATAAAAAATAAACTTAAACAATTTATCAACATATTACTTAAAATTTGAACAGCCATATTGTATCACCATTTATATGCAATGTATAATAGATACATACTCTTCAAATATGTCATTTTTGCACAATGACTATTATGCTTCATTAAAAATGAAAACTAATTTGACTTCCATAGTTTGGACAGAATTTAGTCTCAAGAATGTCACTGTACCAATGGTTACAAAAGTTTGATATAATTGGCATTAACTAAAAGCAATTTTGAGACTTATAAAAACAAAGAAAATAAAACAATATTACAAAATAAAAAGAATTGCATGTGTGAAACTATAATAACGTAAAAGAAATGCCTTTTTGGTACTATATTGAAAAGCACAGAACATACAAACTATTTTGTATGTCAAAGATATTTCTACCTGGCAATTACTTGTTTCGTGAGCACTCTGAAATTACTTGCATGATCGACATAAAACAAGTGATTTTCTCTTTATCTGGTACTCCTTTCATTGCTTCATTTATTGCTACAATATATAGATGCTGCTCCTGTTGCTGAGCAGCAGCAGCACGATGCATGTATGCCGTTGCAACAACATTTAAGGCATGAGAAGACTGGGATAGTACATTTTCCATTGTTTCCATTCCTTTTTGTCTTTTCGCTGCAAATCGATCTGGAGCTGGTACCACTTTCTTCTTCCGGATTGAGTTGTTCACAGCCTCGGTAACAATGTCTGCAGCTTTATTCTGTTGCATTCTATTATTTACACACTCTAATACATTGCCCTCACAATCTTGTACGGTAACAGGAGATTGCTGATCTGAGGTACTAACTGATGTGTTATCAGATAAAATATTGTTAATGTTATCGTCAGAGCATGTCAGCATATTTTCGGAATTCAATATATTATTTGATGGTAATGGACTCGACATTGTCTTCACTGTAGATTCTTCAGTGAATAGAGAGGACTTCAGAATACTTTGCGATGTCATAGTTTTTTCTTGCTGAGAATCTGCCACAGAGCTGCGTGACCTACAAAAATAAAAATATTGATATTTATGAAAGCGACAAAAATATTCTCTAAAAATAATTATATACTTGCATTCTATGTGCAATGTGCGGTGCCAAGAAAGACATTTGTTTGAAGTAGACCCACATTTTCATCTTTTTATACCCAGAACCACT